TACATTTCACTATTTTTGTCACAATAAAACTTGTAAAATTCTTTTTAGTTTTCAAATTCATGCACATGAATATGTATGTATGTGTATATATATATATATATATAGAAAAGATGACTAGAAATTCTATCTATTGGAAACCATTGAAGCTTTGTCACTATTAGGTGAAATTCTACTTTTGTTCTTTCGAATTTGAACTTCTTTTGAATTCGAAAATCCAAAAATAATTGTTTATGGTCTGCAGACAGATTCAGGTGAATTTAAGATTGATGATTTGCCAATCATTTTGTGTGTAGATTTCTATGTTTTTTGTTCATTCAAAAATTGTTATTAGGAGAATTAGATAATGCTTGTTCTTTTTTAAAAAACGTTTCAGGGTAAAACATAACATTTAAAAAGTCACTTGCAACTTTGAAAGAAGAAAGAAAATAGTATTTTGTTTAGGTTTTGTATAATAGTTTTATGAAATTGATTTTCCAAGCCTTTGCATGTTCTTGTGATTATTTCCTTGGTTTGTATTATAGAACTCCAATATGCTTTAAGCTTTCAATTAAGTATATTTTAAGTGATTTTCAATAAAAATATTTAAAAAATGAAAAAATTTAATGATGACACCAATAATGATAAATTTGATTCAATTTAATTCAATAATATAAGATAAAACAAAGACATTGCTGATGCCACAACTTTTTTTCTACTGCCACTACAATTTATTATAATTAATTTTTAAAAATTTTAATCCAAATTTTAAATATTAATTAAAAAAATTATTAGTATTTCTAATATATATATATATATATATATATATATATATATATATATAATAAAATTATATAGAAAATTTAATTAAATTTTAATATAAAATAATAAGAATAAGTTGTAGTGGCAATTGCAAATATAGTGGTAGCATTACCAACATCTTCGCTATAAGTTAAGATCTTTATCTTTTTTGATAAATAAGTAGTTTTTTAAAAAATAAAAATAAAATTAAAAAATACTTTTACATGTTAACTTAATTTTTCTTTGTTACTTTATTTTTATTTTTATTTCATAACATACATGCATTAAAATTCTAGGCTTATTTACTTATTTAATTTTGTGACTAATATTTTTAAAAATCACATATTTTACTCTTAATTATATAAAATTAAACTAAAATTTTAAGTAAAATTAATGTGTATGTTCTACTGATTCTTTGCTCTTGGTAATCATCTGTAACAACAAAAAAACAAGCATAGATTTTATCTAATTTAGATAATTAGTATATAATACAATTATTCAATGCATATTTTATTTATATGCTAATAGTGGATGAAATGTTATTTAGAAATTATACATATACATATATATATATATATATATATATATATATATTTCATAAAAACACCACTGATTTACACAATATAAAATCAAAAATATTAATCTTGATTTTGTAAATTTTTTACAGAATTGATATTTTGATATTTCTCTCAGCTATTTTAGTACTTTTTTGAGTTGTTTATTGGATGCAGAGGTTAAGAAAATTAGTGTTGGAAAAATATTTTATATTCTGAAACAAATCAATGAGCAACTCCAAAGGGTACTAAAATAACTAAGAAGGAGTACTAACATATTTATCTCTTTAATGGATTTATAATATTTGGTTCTTAGTTTTTAGGAATAAAACATGACAATTATACATTAATGATTGAAATAATACTGTTTTCATAAACTAATAGAATGAAAATTACTTTTATTTTTGTTGTTTTTATTTTTTTACATAATAAACATCTTAATAATTTATTATACTATTCTTATGATTCTTGTATGCATGTTTTATCATCTGCATTTAATATCATTTTTTATTTAAATTTAATATAAATATTTTAACTAATTTTATGAATTTAAAAATAAAATTTTTATTAGAAATGTAATAATAATAATAATAATAATAATAAATATTTACAGAATAAAATTTAATATTTTTTTTGTACAAGATTTTTAAAAAGAATTATGAATGGTACAAATTTTGTATTTATTTACTTACATTGTACCAAAAAAATCTAATTTTTGATGTATATTTTTGTTTATTATTTATTCTAATTTTTTTAAAAATAGATTATTTAGCTTTTTTGATATACATCAAGATTTTTTTTTTCTAATCTTCAGTAAAACCATCTTTTCTAATTATACATGAAACAATTAGGTAGACTTCCTATCTTTATACCATGTAGACACCCCCACAGACACACCTTACAACAGTTAAATATTTCTTATTTAAATTAATTTTTTTTGTTTGACAGTAATGAATAAAATTGTATAAAACAGAACATTTTAAATTTTAATTATTCAGAAATTAAATTTATAAAGATTTGCAATGACAGAAGGTTTTAACACTCAAATAATATGAAGTTGTGGAATGCAGATGGATAAGGATATATTTAATTTTGGTATTAAAGTAATAAATATAATAAGAATCATGATTTAAAATCACATCTGGTTATATTTTGCAGGGGGTGTATATGCAAGGGGTGCCTATGCAACAAAAAGGGGGGTGTCTACTCAGCAGTTTTTAATATTTATTACTAGTATTCTGATTTAATAGAAGCAAAAAAAATTAAAAAATAGAACCTATTATATTATATTGATTTTCACAAGTCTAGAGTTAATAATATATATCAAAATACATAAATAAATTAATGTCCCTCTCTTTTGTCTAATTATTCTTTATAACAAGTTAAAAACTTGGAAATTTTTTAAAAAATTGAATTAAAGAATTTCTAGCTTAAATTTTAATTTTTTTAAAAATTAATGATTAAACAAACAAATAAAAACAAAAAAATTTATTATTATTTTTTTTTTTCAAATGGGTACTCCCTCTAGTACTACGTTCTTAAACACACTTGTGTGATGAAAAATTCATTGAAAGACTTGGTAAACAACACACATCAACATGTTGGATGATGGATTCCTTGATACACGTGCTTAACAATACACACCAATGTGCAATAAATGTTTCATCTATACACAAGCTTAACTGCACATATACAGAAGCTCACACAATTTAAATGATATATTCTTTCACACACAAAAGCACATTTTATTGAAAGATTCGTCAACAGACAAGTGAAAATCTGTGTGTATCTGTATGTGTATATATATATATATATATATTTATTTATTTCACATATTCAATAAAAGATTCAACAACACACAAACTTAACAACTCATATACACACAATGTATTCAATGAAAGATTCTTTGACATACAAGTTCAACTACACGCAAACACACACACGTTAAATATAAGATTCAACAACACAGACGTTCAACAACGCATTCGCACAACATCACACAGAAATGTTGGACAAAACATTCATCGACACACAAACTTAACAACAAAAACATGTCGAATGAAAGCTTATCAAGGAACAAGACTAACAACACACACGTCTTTAATGAAAAATTCCTCAACATTCAAGCTTCACAACACACACTCATGTTCCATGAAATGTGCATCTCATCAGAAGCTTCACCCAAACCCACTCACATGTTCAGTGAAGGACTCTTCGACACATCAGCTGACCAATACTCACACAAGCATGTTTCATGAATGGTTCATCGACAAACATGCTCACCGACACACGCACACACACAACGAGCTAGTTGCACTGTGGCTGAGCAGCAAAGAGCAGAGTATATAGCATGAAACTGATGAAGCTTTGAGAAGAACAACAAACTTACCTGCACACCCTATCGACTGTGAGTGTAACGAAGTCTTACACAAAGAGAACACAGCATACTGGAGCAGATCATCAACAAACCAGGTCAGAGAAATTTGGGGGGGGGGCAGAGGTCAGTGAGTCAGTAATGCTGTTTCTCTGTCTGTCTGTGCGTCGGTGGACATTCAATGCGGCGCACGGCTCGTCGCATCATGGCTGCAGGCCGGTCGTCATGGCCCCGCGTCCTCGCTTCCTCCGACCGCTTTATCAACTTCACTGGCATCTTCCTCTTGATTCCATTCCTCGGAGCGCTTTGCATCCAGAATCGTCACTAGACACAGGCTTTCGTGATCTACCGGCTAGATCTGAGCACAAAGATGGGGCGTCATTTATGGCTCTGTCGGTAGAGATTTGGGGCTTTCTATGGGCTGGTTAATGTGTATCTATGGGTGAATGTGCTTTGGATGACAGAAGCCTTGCGATCAGTCGCGGAAGTACATCCTAAAGGAGGTTTTCTTTTCATGTTTTTTTTCTTTTTACAGTTGAGAAACGTGTTTTTGCTGTGGGTCGTGTGTTCAGTTGCATCACTGTCTTCAATCTGATTTTGTTGGTTGGTGATATGAGCTGTGTATGCACCTAGGTACACCAACTTGTGATTTTTATTTGGATTGTTGCATGTGATTGGACTCATTGAGCTATTTTAAAACAATAGTATTTTTGTGATGAATTGAACTTTTTGAAGTACACAGATTGTTACTAGTGTTTGTTTATGCCCATTTGAAATTTGGGTTATCTTGTGATTTCAGTCAAGGTTTGCATCTCATTGCTGAGTTTGATGTGGATGATGATGAATCACTTCTGTTGTCTAATACATTTGTCATGATTTTTCTTTTCTTTCTCTTTCTTGCAAAATAATACATGTAGTTCCATAGCATGTTACACTATACTTTATTCTTGCACGAGATGAAAGTATCAATCACCTTTATTTCTCTTGTGTTTCACCTTTTTGCACAACTTGGTACATATACGCTTTTCTACTTCGCTTATTTATCTATTCTTTTCTGTGCGTTGTGTTTTATTTTTTCTGAATCGTAATTTAGGTTAATGTTGCAAGCAACTCTTAAGCACCAACTATCACCACTGAATTATGTATTGTGAAAAAGGGAACAGTTGAACAAGTTGCATTCACTGCAGCTCGAAATGATGGGGTTCAATGCTCTCGAGAGCAGAGGAAGGAGACCTGCACTCAGTCCATTGTGAGTACGAACCAGTGCAATGAATCTAGATATCCAATGAACAAACTTATCGGTCAGAGTTCACCTGCAATAGCAGGACACAGTTATATTTTACTTCCACAACGATCACGTACTTTTACAATCATGGCACCATAACTGATTGGCCCACTACCTCACATGAGCTAATAAGACTCATGTGAGCCATTCAAGTTGCGGTATTGTCTAGATTATACCACGGTGGATATATGTTCACCATTCTTTGATGGCCTTTGGAGCCCTTTATTGATTCCTCTAGCATGCGCCTGCCATCTGACGTTGTGAAAGATGCTAGAGATGTCAGGCGCTGCATATTGCATAAAACTAGGTGCCGAAATGGATGCGTACCTTAAGGAAGTAACTCTAATATACACAAGTGGTAGTAAAGTGACAATCATCTTAGTAATACCGATGCACAGGATGCAAACTTGAGTCGAGGATTCAGTCGAGTTCATTGTAAGATATGTAGTCGAGGTTAAAGGCTATGACATCGTCTTCCTTCAGTTCGAAGCTCGCTGAGCTCGTTGCCGACCCGATCTGATTGCGCTGTTGGAGGTTTATGTAGTTTTGCACCATGCTCTGCTCGGCAAATTCATCGAATGATGGAATAAACGGGGGCTGTGGTTGGAAGTTTTCGTCCAAAGAAAAGTCGGAAGGTATGAACTCAGGTGACCAGATGACCTCTTCGGTTAAAGAATTATTGCTGGCGCTTTCCTGATCGGCAGTGTCGGCAGTGTCGGCAGAAATCATACCCATCTGATCGCGGTTAGAAGCGACTGAACTGGAATTGGTGTTGGGTTGAAGGTTCATGTTCTTGACATCCTTAGCTGCCTGAACTGCTTGCTTCTTTACAAATTCCTTGATGTCGTTGGCATCCGACGGACGGTCGAAAGCTAAGTTTTCAGGCAGTGGGATGAAAGTTTTTACCAGCGAAGGGAAATTGAATCTGGTTTTCTTTTTTGTGTAGAACACCCCTGCATCGTATGCTCCCGCTGCTTCTGCGTCAGTGTTGAACGTACCCAGCCAGATTGTTTTATTCCATCGAGGCGGACGGATTTCTACCAGATAACCCCGCACTTTCGTCCGCTGACGGACTCCTTTGAAGCCGTGCCGAGGTCCTTGCCTTGATCCATTCGGTGGCCTACCCCTTTGACGCCTGATATTCAAAGCAGGCGATGCATCATGCAACCTGGAAGAAAATTTCTATGGCAGAATTAGTAACGGTTAAATCTTCCCCCTACACAACAAAGCTTAAGAGAAAAGAAGAGGAACCAAAACTCTAAATGACACTTCATGACCTGTTATCCCATGTGATCTCTTACTAATATGATGCAAATCGACCTTGAAGTGTTGGGACAAATCGAAATTGTGATGAAGACACTCGTTTCAGGATGTACAAGTGAAATCCTCATCTCAAATCAGTACCTTGTAGAGTCTACTCCGGACACACGTGATGCAAGAGGAATTGCTGTGGTCGACGCTGCATTGCTTTCAACTGGATTCAGGGCGACATTATCTGTTGCAGCTACAGTTTGAGTCATAGGCGCCGCCGGAAATTGTGTTAAACCCCAAGGCAATTCATCTTGTGGAGGTTTGAAGCCAACTTTCTGGCCCAGGGAGTCTCCAGAACAAGTCCAACATTGAAAAAATTCGGATTTGATCCCCCCGCAGAAACACCCGGATGCCCATCCTTGCACACTCTGCTGTAAAATAGTCACGTCGACATCACGCGAGTGCTGGGAGAGCGCATCTGTGTTATCCGGCATTCTGATCAAGCTCGTTTGAGATGTAATACAAATCTATGATGTAACTTACTGCTTCGAAACCACCCTAAATCGCCTTGGTATGCTCAGTTAATATGTCCGCGTGCGCCTGAACTGGAGTTTGTGCCTTGTCTAAGAGGTTTGGGTCGGTGGAACTCCATGAAATTACATATCCAGAACAAAATCCAGTGATTCTAGTACTTCTCCTCCATGCATTCAGCCGAAGCCGCGGTAACCTCAAAACGTGCACTTCAACACGCACTCAATGACTGTTCAACGTGAGATTGTGACACGAGAATGCTCTGTAACATCGCTAATATTACGTAACTCCCCTCCAATTTTCGAAATTGTCAGTAGCAAGTGCAAGGCAGTAGCAGTAATTTCACTTCCTGAGATCTAAAGAAGCAGGAATGACTGGTCCTCTCAACTAGTCCGAGAATTACTACCAAAAGTACTGCTTCCAACTTGCATCGAAGCAACACTGATCAGTACAGCTGACTCCAGGCTCCAAGTAAGCAGAGCCTCACAACCTCGAAGTCACAAGAAAGCTCACAATCTTTCTTCTAATCAATGAACCTCTCGGTGGTTTTGGCAAACATAGAACTTGTGACTGAACAATCTCCGACCCTAACGCAATCTCCACTACGTTCCTTATCAGACAGTATCCCCTCACACCCGCTGCCAAGTTCCCACGGGGTGGCAGAAGTGTTATCCTTCACCGTCTAACAAGGTTCTACAGCCTCCACTCACCAAGTCAATCTCGACTAAATGAACGTCGCAGACAAATCGTACAGGGATGTAACAAACTGTAGTCTGCTCGCAGCACAATGGACAGTACAGCCGGGAGGTCGGAGGGGGGGGAGGTGAGCGCTCCACGAGCATGATCCCCCGCCGCAGCAACTCACTGAACTAAATCCTCCGACAGAGAACGTGGGCCCGGGTAGTGAGGTCACCTGGTTAAGCCGCGGGACCGATGCGGGAAGAGCGCCGGGTTGAATGCTAAGTGACAACAGCGTGCCCGTATCATGCCTGATGAAAACTGTCTGTACTGCGAGTTGCGAGGAATAAAGTGAGTCGCTGACGGACGAGGTGGGGGCATAGCGCCTGCTGAAGATGATCATGCTCACTTGCAGATGATGCGCTGTAAATTAGAAGGCATCTCAATCTGCTGATGCAGTTGCTGCTACGACTCACTCTGACAGCGTCGCACGGAGCTAACGTGGCTGCCGCAGGTTTGAACTTCCATCCTCTCTCTCTCTCTCTCCACACGGAGACAACGAGGCCGCTGCAGCAGCGCATTTGAATTTCCATTCCACCCCGCGGAATGTTGAGACTTCGCGTTGTCTCTTTCCTCAGGAAACGTCCCTCCTTCCCGTGGAAAGCTGACGCCTGGACAGTAGCTCCTTGGTTTCACTGCTACCCAGTTGGCTGCTTTTTGTTTTATTTTAATATTTCACACTTGCACTTTTTATTTGATGAGGATGCAAGTTCATGGACCCGGAGGGCGATGAATAGTGTTTTGTTTTTGAGGGATCCTTGCTGGACCAATGAAGTGGTCGTGGTAGTGCAGTGACCTTGGTCTTGTTCGGGTGAATTGGCCCAGCAGCTATGCACCCAATTTTGATACCGTGTGGTATCTCTCATCATGAGAATTACATGTGTGCAAAATTTTCTTCCCTCTCTCACAGTTAATGCACCATTCGTTTGATATATATATATATATATATATATATTTGTCTGTGTTTGGGTACTTAGTGTAAAAAAAAATTGGTGCCTATTGTCAAATCTTGTTGATTGTCTGAATGTTGATTGATGTATGATTAGTTGAGTTTTTTGAAATATTTGCCAAACATTGCATGAGATTTTTTAAATGTTTGGCAAAGAGTGGTGGCTTAAAATATTGAAATATTTGGCAGAATTAATGAACAAGAATCTTTCAAAACATTCATCCAATCCCATATTAAAGTTTCATAATATCTTCAGTGATATTTCGGTTTTATACTCTATCCACGATGAAGATTTTTACCCCATGATCGAAGTCTTTTTTTCCTCAATAAATATTTAGCTTGCTAAATGGGTCTCCTTTCTGGTATGTACATAAATAAGCATGCACATTTGAGCAACTCTATTGAAGTTTTGAAATTGTTGGAAATGGTTATTTGCTCCATGTCCTTGATTGGAACATCTTTTGTCTTGTTTCTTTTTGGGACTGTGATCTCTGTTTGTTTTTTAAATGAGATTTGTGAAGAGTTCTAAGCAGGTAAAAAAATTATATAGCTTTTCAAGCTTGGTTGTATGCTTTGTGACTACCCTAAACATATCTGGATGTTGGTAAAAGTGAGCTTGCTAGAGTCTTGTACAACAAATCATAACCCCAATTTTCTAGGAAGTGGAACCATTGCATCCTGTATCTTTCATACGTAAAATGTAGTTGATTCTTCCACTTCTTGTTTTGTATATGCATTGATTTTTCATGCTCATGGATTGATATGTAAGTCACGTGCCCTGTGATTACAGCTATGAATATTTTTGATTGTACTCCAATGGATAAGATATGTTTGTTGCATAGGTGATTCTACTTTAGGTGGTTGGCAACCAATGTCAATCCTACAACAATACGACAAAATTTGTGAAAGTAGTTGAATGAAATATCTGGAGGTGGATAATGGCAATGAAAACTATAAGTGGGGTGTAGATGCTTCAAGATTCAAAGGACAATGTGTTACAATTGGCTTAATTTTATTTTAATGATAAAAGTGAATGAAAGAGTGTTGCCAATCAAATTGGGTGACCACAAATGGCAATTTGAATTATGCTGAAGAGTATTGCAACCCACAAAAAGCCATCAAATAGTGGAAATACTGCAGTCAAATGCACTATCTTTTAACCAACTGTTACAGGAAAACACTGTGCAAGCATGCATGGCAGTCAAAAGGAGTTCTTAAATAGTGTGTTGGAGATCCAATGCATTATTCTTATTATTTTTTTGTGAACAGTGATTTTGTCAAGAATTTTTTCTAGAAGGTTTGTGAAAGTTCAAAATGTTCATTTATGTGGTGATTTTGATTCATGAAACTTATTAATGGTTCTTAATATAATTATTTTTTCTTTGCACCCTCCATCATAATTTCACCACAATTTTATTTATTTAGAAACTGTTATCTATATGAATTAAAATAAACTGATTGTTGTTGGTTGGGGATGCCTTCCAGTTGTCTTAAACTAACTGAAAAATACAATGGTGACATTTGATGTACTCGTAAGCAGCCAAGATATTTCAAGTGTATTCTCTAATGTACATAACAAGTTGATTATTTTTGAAGTTATTTCAATTTAGAAATGATGTAAAGTCATCTATTTCATGCTTAAAACAGACAAATCTCTCTAACTTACCCATAGACAAAAGTGATATAGAAAACATTGCAATGTTAAAGAGCTCTAATTTATCAATTTTAAAAATGTATAGTAAGTTTGCAAAAGCACATGCTTGCCAAGGTTTTTTAAGTCAATGTAACATGCAGTAATGCAATTATACCACTATAGGTTGTTAAAATGTATATATATATATATATATATACAAATGTGTCTATACTCAAGTATCAGTGGAATAATCATTCTTCTAAAATAAAAATAAAAATAAAACTTATAAACAATATTCTTCAGTCTCGTGCAAGTAAAATTGATTACAATTCTTGAGAAGTACATTTCTAATTATAAAATAACATTAATGATGAAGGAGGAGGGAGGAAAAAAAAAAAAAAAAAAAAAAAAAAAAAAACTGATTCATGTCAAAATTTTAGATTTTAAAACATTACTAATTCTTATATTCTACAGTTATGCAGGTTTCAAATTCAAGGCAAAATATGTCCTTATATCCCCATGACCAAATTATGCTGACACAAAAATAGCTATGCAATCACAATTTTCACTAATATCCTATTAGCAACTTTTATTTTTGTAAATCTGAAAATACAAGTTGTATTTAATACATACTACCATTTGAGAAATTGTATAAATCTCACAGTCATACACAACCAAAGGCTGACACTATTATGCATGCCACAACAAAGAATAATAGTTTCTCATCTATTCAAATTTGAAGAGACAGTTTTCCGTGCCAAAAATAAAGGTCAGCATTAAAACATGTGCTTTTTACACATTAAAAGCACATTAAACTGATTACTAAATATTTATTATTGTCAACACTTCCAATATGCAATGAAGGCAAACTGCCTTCTACAAAACCACCACCACGTTGTCTCAGTCTATCAATTAGAGAAATAAGTTTGTCATCAGCATCGTAACAAACAGTGATATTATTAAAAATGTAATGGCTCTAAGAGGAAAGACAAAGTGGGGGCAATTGCAAGGGGTGTGGGCCAAACAAAGTATGGTCACTACAAAACAAATAAAGGAAAAGTCGAAATAAAACAATTATCTAAATGAAAGAGTATCTGATGACTTTGGAGGCGTCAGCTTCCCTTTGGTATCAGCATCTATCCAGCTTTGACACAGACTCTCTGGGCCCTCCCTTTTCTCATCCCACACAATCAATAACCATTACAATAAAATCGCTTCATAAAAAATAAAATAAAAAAATAAAAAATGCTGACGTTTCTAATAACAATTTTACGATATCAAGAGATTGATATGCTTCATTTTCGGGATCACAATAACCTTTTTAGCAGAATTACTCACTAGAAGTGAGACAAAAATAGAAACCCAGATTTGGACCTCTGTTGTTGCATTTGTGTTTGAATGTAACCATGTGTATGAATTTGACACAACAAGCTATGTAAGTTTACAACAAATCTCAAAGTACCCATAATTGGACTAATCACTTCTGAAGGGGCACTGAGAACATCGAGCTTGTCAGACGATATACCATTGGTGGTGATTACTATTTCTGGCAAAATTGTTCCCACCACTGAACAAGTTCGTTCCTGCCGAGCCCTTCTCAACCAGCATTCAAAAAGATAACGTAATAAAACTAATAATAATAGTACTCACGATGAACGAAGTCACTATCAACAATGTGTGGCTGGATTCGAGGCACGATAGAACAAATCAATTCAGCACGTGACAACTATGACGCTGCATGACGCTGTATGACGCCATATTCACGTAATCGTGACGTGGAATTTGTGGATCTCTTGGAAACGTGGGGGAATCTTCACCTTGACAGTGGAGCAATGGCCCTTAAAGTCAAGCTAGTTTGGGGGGGGATTAGTGGAGGCGATTTGCATGCCTTTTGACCCTTCCCATCATGGGCATTTGGAATTTAGAATAGAATTTTAGCCTTGCCTTGTTGGACTCGGTTGCATGTGGCTTACTTTTCATGCTTCCCCTTATTTATTTGTGGCTTCTAACAATGTTTAATAATAGTTATTGTACTTGTAGGATTGTGGTTTTATTAAAGGAGTGGATATGATATGATTCTTTTTGCTTGTGATATATTTTGAATCCTATAATTATGGACTTATGAATTGCCTTATGTAGTATAGTTATACTAGTTGGGTAGATAATTGTGTTGTATTTTTATCTTATTCAATTTTTGAAGATATAAATTTTGTAATGCAAAGACAACATTGTGTGAATATGATAATGTTTAATGTTTTGAAATGAATACAAATTATTGGATGATGGTAAGGTTGGACCTAAGAACACACCACAACTTTTAAAAGGTTGGAAATTAAAATCCCAATTGAGAAATCCTAACCATGCACAATAGAAACTTATTTAGGATTTATTCCTGTAATTTCAAAAAAAAAAACAAAACAAAACAAAACACAACAAAAAACCAAACAACAATGCTTAGCATTTTATAACTAAGTTGGAATAATTTAGTTTTTTTGTTGTAGTTAAGAGTGAGTTAGAACA